CAAATATTTTTTAAATCATGTACACGCTTTGGCTATTTTTAGGGACAATTCAAAGTTGGAGCTTTTGAAGGTTGCTAAAAACCGATTTGCCTCTCATTATTTTTTGTTTAAGAGGTTAATCACTTGTAGAGAGACCCTATTTACAACCATTGTTCATAATTCGTGCAAAGATTAGGTGAAACAAGGCGATAATCACAATAGAATAACTGAAGAGGTTGTTGACAATATCATATATGAGCAATTTGATAATATGTTGGGGGAAATCCAAGATGTGATGAAGGAACGTATATATGCATCGTATTTTCCTCAAGTAGAGCAAATTGTATTGAAAATGTGGAAGAAAATGATCATACCATTACATTGTTTGGGATTTGCTTTAACTACACGATTTTACGAAACACATTATCTTGAAACATTAGCACGAGGTGGAATATATTGAAAAGCACCTAACATTGAGAAAGAAGTTATACAAGGTGTCATGAAAGCTTTTAATCACTTTGCTATAAATAGAGACGGAGAAACATATGTTACAAGGATAAGTTGCTACATTTCATATGAAGAAGAGTCTTTCTTTATTACCGGAAGCTCAAATAGATGCGGTTACAATGGAAGCAATTGATTGGTGGTCTACTTATGGCACGGAAACACCATAGTTAAACAAAAAAACGAATTGTCACAACCTAAAAGCAACTCTTTGGTCGAAAAAAAATCGGAGCACTTATTCTTATATTCATAATATGAAAAGAAATCGGCTAAAATCTAAAAGGGACGACAAACTTGTTTTTGTCCATTCAAATATCTGTTTGAGTTCAAGGTTTTCTAAAGCTTATAAAGAAGGACCACACAAGAAGTGGGATATGGATCCCAAATCTACAAACTTGGAAGGATCAACTTCAATCCTAGAAGATACGGAATGAGAAGATCTCGAGGAGAAAGAAGATAATGATAATGGCCAAGGAAAAAAACAAAAGGGTGACTAAGTTATTGTTTGAGTTTTAAGTTTGAAGTTTATGTAACTGTCTTGATGTTTGTTGGATTTGATGTAATTTGTTTTGAATTTTGATGTTTGTTTGATTTCAAGTTTCAAGTTTAGCTAATATGCTTTCAATTTCTATGTTAACCGGTACATGGTACCACAATATTTGGTACATCGTACCAAAGTGTACCACCGAAATGAACCTACCCCCTCGTATCGAATATCAGGAACATAACGAATTGCATATGGCGAACCCGTACCCACGCTGGACAATGAATTATGTGATTATGATTCATACACAATTACACATATTTCTAGATTATTGGCAAGGCCGGTCCATATATATTTTGGGCCCGGGGCGAGAAAAAAAAAGGCTCCGAAAACCAGAAACGTAATATAAATTTAAAATAAACATACCATTTTACTAAAATAATTAATAACATTATCAAGAAGAAATATATAGGCACAACGTTTAAAAAACACAATTAATTTTAAGAATATTACTTCTTATAGAATTCCTAGATGCAAAATCATATATATACACTAGCCCATAAATTTTGGACCCCTTAGAGACATGAGCTCTAGATGATCTTCCGAGCCGGACCTGATAATTGGTATTTGATTATTTGAACGTCAATAATCTGTTTATTTGAACAACTCATTGCTACTATCTCCTCCATAAGAGAAGACTCAGATGAATCCCAATGTGAGTGGGGTCATGGGCAACCACTTCATTCACTTCAAAGCCCCTACACTTCGTGCGTTTTAATTAAGAACATAATGTAATGGATTTGCTTTATCTTGAACAGATTATAACAATGTATTTTGTTGGGTTTATTTGTTTTCATATCTAAATATCCTTTTCTTTGTTATGAAATGATGATTACTAAAAGTAAAAATATACGGTTGACCATGAGTATTTTATTTTGTCAAATACATTTGTATCCTATTTTCCAACCGAGTATTTTTAGAGATCAATGAAAACACTAATTATATTTAATTTATAATACAATTTAGAATTTACGTTAAATTTAGAACAGAGCTTGAAAACAGAGACAATCTTTCTTTAAATTTGAACAGTTCCATCCATAAAAATTACTATGTTTTTTTTTATCTATAGCCAATTGGCCGGTAAACCCTATTTCCGGCGGAAATGGTCGTTGGTGATAGGGCACTTTTTTTTTTTGTGGTGATATCAAGAAGAGGAATTCAAACCTTTACTAAAACTTAATTATATGTCAATTGTAATAAAAGAAAATCTATAAAGGAAGATGAGACAAACACACTAACAGAGCCAATAATGTCACATTGTCGCCAATGCATTGTAAGAGTGTAATTTATGCAACTCAAGTTGTACCTTAACCAACGATCCAAACTCCATTTCTTGTCGCTTCACCCTCCCCCGACCACACGAAGATGGAACTTCTGAAAAGCTAAGGTGGGATTCATGATGTATTAACTTTTTATTTATCCTAAACGGTAAGACACTATTTATATTTGATATATTATTAAAGTTATTACATGACAAGATATAAGTAAAAATCTTGTGGCATGATTGGGTCCATAAAATACGGAGGATGCAAAAGGGGTTTAAGATGAATTCGGTAGACGTAGTATGATGCACTTGGTAGTTAAGGCGATATAAGTTTCTTTAAAGAGAAATTTTGATTACCCTTTGATATTAAAACTTAAGTCAACATTAGAAACTCAATTTGGTTAACCATAAAAATAATTTTTATGAGAAAAAATAAACCATATTAATCTAATTTATTATTATTATTTTAAATAATTAAAATACTACTATTAATTAGGGGTGTGCAATAAATCGCACAAACCGCATAAACCGTCCGCACCGTACCAAACCGCACCACATAACGCGGTTTAAAACACTTGCGGTGCGGTTTGCGGTTTACGATTACAAAATTGCGGTTTAAACCGCACCGCATTGATAAAACTAATTAATGATTATATATATATATATATATATATATATATATATATATATATATATATATATATATTCGAAAATAATTTGACAGATCCTAATTTAATGACATTATCTTAAGTTTTTGAAATGTAATTTTAATTAATCCAAAATTTAATGGAGTGACCATATTTTTTATCTCAATTTTATTTTCAACTAACATTCAGTGACCATTATTTTATGGTGACTATGTTTTCTTAACTTATGTATATTCATAAGAAGTTAATGACCACAATTCTATGACCATCAAATTTCTTAATGACCACTTAGTGAGCCATTGGTGACGACAATGATTGTATTGCCATTAAATTTAAAGTAAATAATTACTCAAACCGCATGTAAACCGCATAAACCGCCCGCACCAAACCACACCGCATAATGCGGTTTTGAACGTTCGCGGTGCGGTTTGCGGTTTCTAAATAACTCAAACCGCATGTGCGGTGCGGTTTGCGATTTTGGCTCTAAACCGCACCAAACCGCACCACGCACACCCCTACTATTAATAACCAGTGATTAAAATTAAGTCGACCTTAAACACTCAATTTAGGTTATAGAAAGATAATTTTTTATGAAAAAAACAAATCATACTAATTTTATTTATTATTTTTTGAAATTTTAAAAATTACTAATAATAAACACTAATTTCGCAATGCCATTGAAAAATTGTAAATTGTTTAGAAATAACAATAGTCACTATTATGTTATTATGATAATTATAATTTATTTGATAAATAATAAAATTAAAATATTATTAATATTATTATTATTGTTATTATTATTATTAGAATAACATATATTTAATAAAATAGAGAATATATATGAAATATCTCATGAGATACAAATGAATTTCCTAAATATACTGAAAAACTTAATTAATTATACATGCATATGTAGAAAAAACTTATTTATTATTTTTATATTTAAAAAACCCCTTATATTATTATTTCCGTTTAAAATAAAACCAAAATGCAAATTTTTAAGAGAAATAACCGACTAAAAGTATAATATGACATACATATATCCTTATATTTCTTCGTTTGTATGTAAAAACATGTCGAAACTTACATCTATTTCAATTACTTTTGTTTGATTTTGTTCTGTATATGAAATTATACGGTTGGTTTTCTCTTCATAAATAATCGTTTTTATCTCAATTAACATCAATGTCGTATTAAAAGACAAAATGTAAGCAACATCAAACTTTTAGTAGCCAGTTTCTTTTAAATACACGTATTTTGTTTTTTTATGATAACTGTTAATATAAAATTATAGGGAGTACAATGCGCTAATGGAGGTGCTAAGAGATGTTAAGGGTGCTAAACACCACCCCCTTACCTTGTGATAAGGAGGGCATCAAGAAGAAATCGGTGTGCATGTAGGGAGAGTTGAGAGAGAGAGAGAGAGAAAGTATGAATGATGTTGTAATTAGTTTGTATTTTTTTTATATATTTTAATTTTTTTTCTTCCAAATCAAACTATTAAATTAGCACACTATCAATCTTTATATTTTTTTTGCTAGACATGCTAAACTTATATGACATCAAAAATACTTAAAAACTTACATGACAACAAGCTAAGAGTGTTACCACTCCCTCAAGTCTATGTCTTTTTCTAAACATAAAAATAATCTATAGATGTTTCTGAATACATATATAATTTGTTATGATCATTTACGATGATATAGTACAATAATATGAAAATATAGAAATTGAAATTTTTATCATGTACTATCATTATTCCAAATAATAATTAGCTAGGTGATAAATTTAAGTGTACATTTATATGAATGTTTATATATTACGAAAAAATTAAATTGGCCAAACATGTTGAGAAAACCATCCCTGGTTGTTGTGCGAGAAAACGACATGTTATAATCTCCGATCAATTTAATTCTTTTGTCCTAACATATAAACAAAATAATTAGAAACATCCTTCATCACAATATTTCTTGGGAGAAGATTTTGCAAAGTAGAAAGCTAAAGGGTTATTAAAAAAAAATAAAAAAAAGAATAAAAAAAATAAAAGTCGAAAACACACACATTAATAATTCCACAATAAAGATTCAAATTCATTGGAAACCACATTTTTCTGACCGGAAAAATGCCCACCCTCGTCGTCACCGCTTTTATTAGTCCATTCATGTGGTGGGTAGAGCCATCCATCCACCATCGAGTCGATGTACACGAACTCGTTATTCAACTCAGCAGAATCAAAACTCGTCCCAAGAATTGGAAGCTCCGTTATCTCACTCAGTTCCTCCGGCTCCGATTCCACCGTGGAGGGTGCAGGTGGAAAGTCAAACGTGTCCATGGCAGCTGCTTTAGCTGCTGCAGCCTGTACATCCCTTGGAGACGACGAAATTGGTCTAGGCAACGACCCAACCAAATCCGGAAAATTAATAATGGCCGAGTTACCCTTGATGCTAAGTGCAGCGACGTCGTGTGCACGAGCAGCCATTTCAGGGTTCCGGTATGTTCCGAGCCATATCCGTGATTTCTTCCTCGGCTCACGGATTTCAGACACCCATTTGCCCCAGTTACGCATTCGAACGCCGCGGTAGATAGGGTGCTTGGTGCTGGAATCTCGGCTTCTCTTGATAGTTTTGGTTTTAGGGTGTTTTGGTTTGTGGTTAGGTGAAGAAGGTGGTGAAGTGAAGGAGTTGGAGCTGGAATCATCAGGTTCAGAATTGAGATTATCTGCACTCATTGTTAGTTGTTACTGCGAAAACTTATGATTGGATGCTGATAAGTGCATATATTCACAAAGTGTTCGTTAGAAAGCAAGACTGAGGAAAAAGTTGCAATCTTTTGGGGGGGTTTGTAGAAGACGAACGATGAGCTTTAACCAGATTGAGCCATTTCTGAATGACTGATACACTTATAAACAGTATATATCATGAGAGAGAGAGAGAGAGGTTATCGTACAAATGGGGTCCCTTTCTCTTTAACCTCTTTAACCACTAGAGACGGAAAGAAAAATCTAGTTGCAATGGTCTAATAGTGATAACACAACTTGTATTTTACCACATTAATTAGGGATGAACTTAGGCGGGTACCCGTCTTAATTATTTGGAACCAAAATTGGCGGTTTCTAAAATGTATGAACCCGAACGGGCGGATAGCGGTTCCACTAGCGTGTATCCGATTCTTTAAATTTGTTGAATTTTTAAAACATTTAAAACTATATTTATGATTTAGCATTCAAGGAATTGAAATCCATAACTAAACAAATATTTCTATGAGTTAGAATTTAAATTGAACATAATAGTAGGTTATGTCTATTATCTATAAATTCATTTTAAAAATGGATAGTTTAATTTCATAGTGAAAAATATATATAGACATTAATTTAAAGGTTCAAAAGAAATTATTTAAAATTTTAGAATTGTAAATCATGTTATTTATGAGGATATTGTATAAGGTATGTGATTGTGTTATATATATATATATATATATATATATATATATATATATATCTATATATATATATATATATATATATATCTATATATATACCGGTTCCGGCGGGTACCCAGCGGGTAGCGGTTTCATAAATATGAAAATCGGAACCACTTAAGGGGGTTTCGATTCCGGAACCGACGGTTCCGAGACGGTTCTGGTTCCCAAAATGGGTACCGAGTTCCGCTGCTCATCCTTACGGTTAATGCCTCGTTACTTTTTTAAAATTTTGTTCGTTTTGGTTATTTAATTGTTTTTGAAGTTTTAAAAATTAACTTATTAAACTTAATATATATGGTGGTAAACAAGCCAAATGTTCAACGAATTGTTCGTGAAACGTTCAACGAGAACATTTGTTTATGCTTGTTTATCTAATAAATGAACGAACGTGAACACAAATTTTCGTTTGTTTAGTTATACGAATGAAAATAAACATTGGTATTGTTCATTCAGTTATGTTTGTGAAATTTCATTTATGTCGTTTGTTTATGTTTGTTTATTTAAGTTCATTTTGTATTCATATATGTTCAATTGTGTTTGATTACATTACTATATTATATGTTTATTTATCTTTGTTTATCTTCGTTCGTTTATGTTCGTTTAACATGTTCACGAACATAAACGAACAAAAATGAACAATGTAATTTGTTAAATGAACGAACATGAACAAAAAAACTCGTTTGTTTATCTGTTCGTATTCATTCGTTTGTTCGGCTAACTTAAATGAACGAATATCAACAACCTTCATTCGTGTTCGTTTAGTTCATTTACATCACTAACAATATTACCTCCAATGGTATGTTTGCTTCATGGGTGAGTAAAAATTGAACCGTATTTAAAAATAGTTGAAAAATTCACATAAATGAAAATTGATAAATTGAATTCGAGACGGAAATCGACAATGAGGCTTTTAAGTTTTCAAAAACCGCAAAATTTTGGTGCAGTGCGGTTTTTAATTTTCCAGTAACTAATAACCGAACCGCACCAAATTTATCATATTAACTAATTATATATAATATTTATTACTTAATTAATAATATATAATATAATTATGTAAGTTATTGGTTTGGTGATCTTTTAGAATCTCTTGAACTCCTAAGAGTATGGTTTTGTGGCATTTTAACATTTAACATAATTTATTAAATTTTGATTTTTTAAGATGTTAATCGTTAAGTACTTAATTTATTAGTATGTTGGTGTTTTAAGTTTTTCATTTATATCTTATTGATTTTTATATCGTTACAACTAATAAGCAATAACTTATAAACTTTTAAAACGAAAAAAAAGTTATAAATCCACGCGGTTAAAAACTGCATCAGACCCACACCATTAAAAAAAACTTATAAATGCTAAATTATAAATAACAAGTAAAAAGTTAACGTTGTAAAAATTCATAATATAGTTTTATTGGTTTATTATCTAATAATATTTCTAACATCAAACAAAATTTACAAAACACCTTATTTTATATTTTCGTGGAGAAAATGGCAATGAATGAATAACTATTATATATGTAATTTTTCTAAATTAAGGTTTTTCTCCTAAAAGTCATTGTTTTTGCATGTAGAACATCTCTCATCCACCTTTAAATCCTATTTTTCTTGTAATTTTCCTCCAACTCCGACTTATTTTCATACCCATTTTTCGGAGATATTAATAATATTCCTTCAATTATAGAGGAACATATTTATTTCATAAAAAATATTGTTGAACTTTTAGTTATCGATTTTAGTCCCTTTCATTTGTACATTTTTAGTTTACTTTTATCGGTTAATTATGATTTAAATGTAATATTTAATATTTATAATATCAAGGTATATATTAAATGGTATTAATTAATCATAAATATAAAGTTTAATTTTTATATATCGAATTCACATAAAAATTTGAATACATACTAAAAAGTTGAAGCACAGTAACATTTTTTTTTAAAAGCTTATAAGTGAATAAAGCATTTTCATATATATAGTCTTTTCGTATATGGTTCATGTCGATAAAAAAAAATCATTTGCATATATACCGGTCTTGTCCGGTTTTACTAACATTTTTCCGGGTCCGATCCGGTTCTTACCCAAAAACTACAAATTGAAAAACATTGGATTCGGGAAGGGGCTAGTTATAGGATAGGTACTTCCGGTTTAGTCTGGGACCGCATCTGGTTTTTTCCGGTCTGGTCTACGAAATGCGTTAGTTGATCTTCTATGAGAAATTTATTCCATGGCAAAAATATGTAGTAGTTTTTTCAAATATATGTGTGATTTTTCTAAAAGATATATGCATAATATTATTTATAACTGTGTTATAAAGATAATCTTATTTATTTAATAATTATTGTTAATAAAATATTAATTAATTCAAATTAATTATATATGAATATTTTATTTTGTTATAATTTTATGATAACATAATTGATAATATTATTATTCTGAAAAAAGAATAGATATATATTCGTTAAAATCTAATTAATAGAAAGGTGTGTTTGACAATATATATAAGTTACAAAAATGCAATATACTATGAATATACTTTTTTTGGATAAAAATAGGATAAAAGTGAAGTAGGGTTAGAGATGAAACACTATTTACTCCATTTTACTCTATTTTTGGAGGAAAAAATAAAGATGTGCTCGAGATGGTCTCAACCTACGAAATTGACTTTGTAATGGGATTTATTGGTTATAAGAGTCATACTTTGGCGGAAAAACTTAAACCCTAAATTTGCATGCAACCTAAAAGATCTATGTTTTTACTATTGAATGCGATAACCAATTTAACATCAAGAACACTTCAAGAACGCTAGTATTTCGAAAATCATAAAAGGGTTTATAAAAACAAACCTCTTGATTATATTAGTAGATAAATCCAACAAAATCCTTCTTGTAGTCACTTGGAAGCTAGCACAAGAAAATCTTGTGCCTCTGATGGTTCACACCCAACCCTAGCAACAAGGAGGCTTAAAAAAAGGAGAAGGGATAGAGAATATTCGACTATGCCTTATGGGAATAATATGGCCGAAATTATGAACCCCATGGAGGGTTTATACATGTGACTAAGGGAGCTAGGATAAGGCAGGTTTCCTTAGATAAGCCTTATCATCTTTCCTTGCTCCCTAAGGCATCCAAGGCTCCCATAATGCCCAAGGAAACCCTATAACCCTTCTAGAATTCATCCCCCCTCTTAAGGAGGTTCTAAAATTGGTCAATGTTCAACTTTTGAACATTGTCACCTTTAGTCCTTTTATTTTTAATTATTCTAATTAATTTTGATTAATTTTTAATTAAATAATACTATTTCTAAATAAAATATATTATTCTCATAATATATTAATAAATTATTTATTTTGATTTCTAATTAATTTATTAATCACATAATAAATTAATAAATCAGTGTCTATCTCTAAAAGTCATCTTATTCAGTTACTAGGTTTGAGGACAACCTAAAAGGACTTCGTTAATAATTCAAGTATATACAAATTCAGTTATTGGCTTAGACACCTAATCCAACCGTCTCCCACTTGGATAATCTATAACTGTACTTATCAGTTGTAACACCCATTCTGAGAAAGGTTAATTTTTAACCCTAAAATATATTTAAGATTGACATTTTGGTCCGTACGCCATGCGTATTCGGGGTATATGCATGGCATACTCATGCTTGAGGAAGCAGGTCTCACACGTGTACGCCCGACGTACTCATCAGGTATGTAGCGCGTACGCTGTTCAGACCAAAACCCTAATTTGAGGGTTTGCACCCTATATAATCCTCCTTATGGCCCCAAGACCTTCACCCTCATCAGTATCCACCTAAAAATCGTTCCTCTAGCTAACTCTAAGTGAGAAGAGTGAACTTTGAGCTCATTTGTGTGTTTTAGTGGTGTCTTAAAGAAGAAGAAGGTGGTAGAAAGACATTGGAGCTTGGAAGAAGCTTGGATATGGGATTCTCACCATACTAGCAACCTTATGGAGGTAAAAAGCTCATAGCTTGATCATCTTTTCTTATGGATCTAGTTATTTCTTCATTTAGGGCATTTTTGGTCCCAACCTTTATGATTCTTGAGCATAGCATGCTCTTTGTAACATTTCGATGATAAGGTACTTCTAATTTTAACCCTATAATTTAATTATGTTGCATTGTGGTCCCTAAGTTCAAGAAAGTGTGTAAAAGGAGCCATAGTGGCATTTTTGTAAATAGGCCTTGGGGGGAGTACGTCATGCGTACGTGTATATGCAGAGCGTATGTTGGGTGTACA